TGGGAATTTTCTCTCTCTGGAAGGATTTTAGAGGCCTAATTCCTTTGTTCGGAGGCAGCACTGCCATCCAGTCATCTTGACCGTCCTTCTTACAAGCACTGGCTCTGGAATGGCGAGCACTTCAGAAATACACCACTTGAGAAACACAGTTTTAGTTTTGGGTGTGGTTTCTGTCCATGGTTCAAGTTGAAAACATTATACTTATTAGGGTGGAGAGGCATCATTTCTTTAAGTGGCCAAAGTTCTTGCTTCAGCTTTTGAAGATAAATATATAAAGGAACCCTAAGCAAGTGGTTCCAGGAGCTACAAACCCTCAATCTATGTCTTAGTCTGTGGTCATTTCTGATGGAAAGACGTTTTTGATTCTGAGCTCTCATCTTCTCAGTTGCAGAAGCAGTTAAATAAAAGACTAGTTTTGTCTTCTCTCCCTCTGCTGTCTCAAAGCACACACATATCGGGTTGAAATCCTACCTCTGCTTCAAGGCCTGAGCTGCTCAGCAATCCTTGCAGCCTTCCCTGAAAACCCACCCCTGCGGAACCTCCCCATCGTCCTGCCGGAGCCCCTGAAGCCCCCAGGAGGTCTGTTAGGGTCTCAGAGGACGGTACATGCAGATGACTCATCACTGGATCCCTATCAGACATTAGCAAACCTGACACAAACAGCCTTTTGATAAATATTATTTTTTTTAGTGAATTGCAAAATTAAACAGAACACAAAACCTTTTCACCTCAGCCCTGTTCAGATAGAGAACAGTCTGACCAGACTGTTGATGCTTTCTTCCCGCCCCCCTTTTACCCCCCAAAACACGGATATTGTAGAAGATACATGAACACTGTTCCTTCCCGACTGCCGGTGTTCTGTGTGTCCCTTCTCCTCTCCGAGACGCTGAGAGAAGGTGCTGAGAGGTTAGGGATGATGGCACCGAGGGGAAAGGGTGTGCCTGGGATGTGCTAGACTTTGCAGGCCAACTCAGGACTCGCTCTGACATCAACTGTCAGAAGTAGCAGCTCGTGCAAAGGCCCCGCCAAAGGGGCAATGGCTAGGGATGAGCGAGGCTATCAATAAGAAGCAACTGGAAGGGGTCTGAGAAACAGAAAGAAATGGATGAAACAGAAAACCCTAGAGGACTTGAAGCTACACAAAAACTTGTGTGGGGTGTGCTCAGTCAGAGACACAACAATATGCAGGCCAATTTGCAAGCCCATTATGAGCAAGGGCTCAAAGAAAAGGACAGCATTTTTCTTTATTTATCAAACAGTAGAATCTCCCCTTCTCCCCTGAACCGTTCTCTACCTCAGATTTTTTTTTATGTTAGTGCCAGAGGATCTGGCATCAAAGATGGCAAATCTAAAAGGTACAAATCGACAGACACAGGGAAATTCCCCAATCACTCTGATTAGAGGGGGTACATGTAATTCCCTTACTCTGGAGATTAGAAATCAGCTTCCATTTTTTCAAAGCTTCTGAAGACAGCATAATACTGTGCAAACAGGCACACAGGTGTTTATTTTAGTCTTCCCATTTCTTCCTAGGAATATGTAACTCCTGTGTTCAGAGAAGTTACTCTGAAAAGGGGGTCGATAAACACACCAAATTCAAGAAACCTTTATTATTGTGGTCTGCAAAAGCAACGTGGAATGATGCCTCCTTAACGTTTGTGAACTTCCCTTGCACACCACACGGAGGTGAGATGAACTTAATGTGTGTGGGTATACCGTTCTTCATTTCCAAGTATGTGTCACCCAAAAGTACACAACATGAAAACGATGCCATTCAGTAAGCGGTGAGTTTCTAGGCACACTGAGCACTTCAAGCCTGGTTTCTACTTTGGGAAGCAACATAAACATAAAGGGTCATAAAAGGATGTGATTATAAGAGGCAAACCACCACCTTCCAGGGAACGCCAGAGCGGGCTGCTCACAAATGAGCAATAAAGCAAGCCACTCACATGAAAAAGCAGAGGAAACACACACAGTGCAGAATTAAAAAAAAAAAAGTATCAGAAAATCCCCAAACTCTATTGATAGTTCTATAAAGCCTTTTTTAAAGCATGTTGTTTCCTTTCACACATTTACTTAAATACATCATAGACATTTACCATCTACTTCTAAGGATTTAAGAAAATAGCCTAGTCTCTCCCCACTACCCAACACTCATCAGAATTTCGTTTATGTTCCTTCACTGATGGCTCAGGCCCACATATTTACTCTGTCCTGGGACAGTCACTCAAATATCAACTGGGTGCCCACTGTGGGCCGTCCAGCCCTCTAGGTCTTATAGATTCACCAGAAAATTAATAATAATAATAATAAAACAATGATTTTTGCTTTCATGGAGATTAGTTACGGAAATGGACGATTAAAAATAAATATATAATATGTAAGGTGTTTAAAAAAAGAAGATAGGCTAGAGGATAGAGATGGGGTGGGTGCTATTTTATACAGGACAGGGAGGGCTACTTTGAAAAGGTAACTTGAGAAGTCCTATTTAAGGAAGCAGGGAAGCTTAGGAAGAAATATGGATCACCAGCTCCTTGCTTACAAAGTAAGTAAATGTTTGAGTATGAAGGTGGACAGTTTTTAAAAAGTTAATTTCGAAAGTGGCTCATATTTAATTTTCAAGCAGACCCATGGGTGTGGTTCTGAAATGTAACTGACTACAACTATATTCTTAGAAAGCACTCTAGTGAACACCTTTGAACGGCCCCGTGGTGCCTGGGAGGGCCTGGTGGAAAGGGTATTATGGTGAAGACAGAAATAATAATTCTTTTTCTTCACCAGAAGACTGGGCTCAACATTTTAAAAACAGCAGTGCATTAAAATTGTGTCAAATCATTGACTACCTGAAAGTTTATGTTCAGAATGTCTTTGAAAACCTCACTTACTGTTTGAGGCTTGACATGGTATCACATGAGCAGTTCAAAGCAATGGTTTAAACAAAAACCCACAAGATTAAAAAAAAGAAGGTTAGATTGATTATAGTAACTACAGTGCTCATTACAATGTAATCGGAAACCTAAACCACTTTTTCATAAGATACTTGTTTCCTAGGATGAAAATGCTTTATAACCATTTCCGGAAGTACATTCTAATAGCTACCTGATGGAGAAAACAATTTCCAGTAAAACACACTGATATTGCAGCTCCCAGATCTCACAAGCCCCAGATTATTCCATAATAGTAAAGGACACTTTCACAATAAGAGATACTTTTGATTAAGTATTAAAGTGCCTCATACGACGCTCTGCCCCTTATGGGGGGGCCCCAAACCAAGATGCCAACTAATCCATAAGCAGTAGCCTGGAGCAAGTTACAAACTCACAACATACCCCTTCATGGGGTCAGTGACTTGCCCAAGGTTGTGAACTTAGTTGTCCTTGACAATAGGATGGGGAACAGGATTCAGATCAATCGATTCCAGGAGTTGTGTACTTTCCACTAGAACCAAGGTGCTCATAGGTACAAAATGGAAACACATTAAAACACCAGCATCGCTCATAGTCTGTTCACTATGACACACTGGGAGATTTCCAATGTAATAAATTTACTTTAATACACTATTTAAGCCATGTATATGGATAAATACGCATACTTTAATAAAAATATTTAGAAAACCATGAAATAAATTCAATGGAAATTTTTCTCTTCAATGTTAAAGCTTTTTCTCCCTGATATATGCCCTCATATTACTAAATCTTGCTTCTCAAAATATTTTATGAAACTGGAAAAAAATATAGGTAATAAGCACCTGGAAAAGTTTCCTGTGTTATTAAGCTGAAAACTTAACTATATAAAGATATATATATACACACACACACACACACACACATAAAAACAAGTATATGTATTTATGTATACATAACACATACAAATATATAGTATATAGTAAGTGTGTGTATACATAAAGTATATATTGCATTAAGTATGTATATATTTATAGACATATGTATAAGACCCTAGTCACAGCTGGCTCTTCACTTTCTAAACTATAAAGGCAGTATGTTCCTAGGCCATCATGGGCTTCCTGGAGCTGTATTCTTTCCTGGTCAAAACTCTTCTAAACTGCCCAGCTGGCATGGCTCAGTGCTTGAGTGTCAACCTATGAACCAGAAGGTCATGGTTTGATTCCTGGCCAGGGCACTTGCCCAGGTTGTGGGCTCAATCTCCAGTGTGGGGTGTGCATGAGGCAGCCGATCAATGATTCTCATCATTGATATTTCTATCTCTCTCTCCCTCTCTGAAATCAATAAAAATATACACTAAAACAACAACAACAACCTCTTCTAAACTTTTGGGGACAGTCTAGCACTGCGGTAAAATCTCCAGAAAACAGAGCTGGCCCAACCCCTAAGTGTCTTGGCGGGTAAGCCCTTTGAAGCCACCGGGTACTGTTTCTTCAATTACTTGGTCCTGAAATGCCTCACGGAAGGTGACCAGCAGCTGACCTGCAGGACCTACCTGACTAATCTCAAAGTCCCAACCCAGCAGCCCCATAAAAACCAGTCAACCAGCCAAGTTTCAGCAAGAGAAGCACCTAAAACAACTGACTATACTTGCAAACCTCAGATTTTTGAAAACCAAAAAAATTCATTCCAATCAAACACTACTCACCAATAAAAATCACTGCTGGTGGCAATTCCGGTGGCTAATTCTTAGCCCAGAGAATGTGAGCCCTACCCATCAACCTAAAAAACTGCGAGGCTGTTTAAATTTGATACCACTGAACTGTACCAGGAGCAAGGGCAATCCTACAATGAAAGAATCACTGTATCCCACGCTTTTTTCCTGAAGGAGAAAGTGAGAAGTGCTTCAGAGAAGCTGGGAGAAAGGCAAGTTTGCAGCAAATGAAAACAGAACCTCTCCCCTAAAAAAAAAAATTAATTGGATGATCACCTAGCACTAACATGAACACCCCTTCATTGGCCTGGCTCAGCCACATCCAATGATTCACGACTCCTTGCAAGGCAAGCTGCTGCTGATGCTGCTCCTGTTTAACTTACAACATTCACTGTGCGCGGTTCACCGGGAGCCCCAGCCTTCCTTCACCATGGAGACTTCCCACGAGAAGCTGGAGCGCTCCTGGGCTCAGGCGTGTTCTGTCCTCTTTCACAGAGACGTGAGGAAAACCTAGCACGGGAATAGAACGGAAGAGAAAGAAAAGGTCAATGCACCATCAAGTCATTCTTTATCCCAACAAATGAAGTTCACAATCAATTAGACTAATTGATCATTCGCCAAAGACCATTCTCCACTACCTTTTTGTGAAAAAGAAATTCAATAGTTTTGCTCTTGCCCCAGGAGACACAGCAGCACGCCACGGCCAACCTTTCGCCCGGCTCCTCCCTGCCCCCCATGAGGTTGAAGCCAGCTCTGGGAGACTTCAGAGGCAATCCCAGCTGAGATGCAAACTTGCAACACCGCCTCAAAATAGGCCGTTGGTTTTACTCTCTGCAGAAAGGAGGGAGCTGGGACCTTTTGCCATTTTCATACCTCACTGGGTGGTTGGGAAGATCAATAAGATCACTCTTGCAAAGCACTCACAGTTCCTGAGAAGAAAGGCACTATATAAACACAACGCATTGTCAGTGGTCATAAGCCTGTTACAGAGCTCTGAGCCAGAATATAAAAGCCAGCATTGGCCAGCCACCAGCAACTGACAGTCCCTGGGGCCCTCAAACTTCTAAACCTCGGCCAGGGCCACCAGGCTGATTCCTCCTTCCAGGGAGGGGCTGGGGGAAGCAGAGGTCTGGAATCTCAGGGAGAAAGAAACTGAGGGCCTGGGGCAGGAAGGGAAGAGGAAGGGGGAGTGGAAGGTGGTGAGAGGCATGTGCAGGCGCATCATGACCTGGTCCAGCCACAGAACTCCCTGGGGTGGCTGGTTTGCAGTGTTTAGTGCGCTGGAGGTTTGCGGGGCTGTGAAATTTTCCACTTGGCCGTCTGCCATTTCCGCCCACCAAGGATAACACTTAGACACAGTGTGGTGCACAGAGGACCTGTGGGGGAAGGACTGGATCATTTCTGTTTGTTGCTTTTAAAGAAAAGACCTATTCATATTTTGATCATTAATATTTTCCACACCTGGATTTTTAAAATTTTTCCCTTCTTGAAGACAGAGCCAGAAATAGCCTTTCCTGGGCCAATATTATCGAGTTATTTTGACTTGGGAATCCTTGAGGAACATACTTGAGGTAAAGGAACACACATGAGTAGCGTTGGGGACGACAGAAAACCAATTTTAAGTGCTGCGCTGGGATCCTGTTTGCTTCCCAAGTATCACCCCCAAGGGCCGTTCAAAGTCATGAGCACACGCTGAGTAAAGGCGGGAGTTGCAGCATTAGCATTTGTGGGTGTAATATTTTTGAGAGAAAAAAGTGGTCCCTTATCTCAAAAAAAAGACAACAATGAATGATGTCAAATCTTAGATGTGGAATAGGTAAAACACTGACAAATGCTACCTCAAAATAAGGAACTAAAAATTGGAGAGAAAGAAATTAGGACAGAAGAGAGAAAGGAGGTGCCTGCTGCCGATATAATTAAGCATGCTTTTATAGTGAACACAGCTCACAAAGTGCTTGCTTATTAATTAACTCATTCATGCCAAATTTTTACTTGGTGCTTAGCATATCCAGCAGACTCTCTATTTTCAGTGGTGAGCAAATCAGACAAGAACCATGCCTTTAAGGAGCTCCTTGCCTCACAGGGATGGCATTAAAGAACCCTAGCACACTCTTTTTAGTTTATGTATAAAATGTGAACACTGAACAGGGATTGTGAAGGAAAAATAAGCACTGCCATTTGCATTCATAATGGGGTAGGTACCCCATTTGGAAGGAAGGGCTCAGAAGGCTTTTCTCACAAAAGTGACATTTAAGCAGAGAAGTGAACGATGAGAGGAAGTTAGCCAGGCACGGGGTTTCCAGGGAGAGGAAACAGCCTGTCCTTAGGGGATGTCATCCAGAGATGAACAACTGAGTTCTATGTCCTCTTGATTTTTTCTGGCCATTTCAACTGGGTCTCCTTGATTTAAATCAAGAATTGAGCAATAGACTTTATATTATTAGCTAGAGTTATTGTGGTGATTGCTTTGCAATATATAGACATATAGAATCGTTGTTGTACACCTGAAACTAACATAATGTCACATGTCAATTGTATTTCAACTTTTTTTTAAAAAAGCTGATTCTTCTTTCTGACTGACAGGCACATCAGAGCAGCGCACACTTAGTGGTTTCCTGGAGAGGAACCCCATAAGTGCAGGTATTAAATCTGATATGACAGCAGAGGTCCACTCTGGCCGCCTAATGCATCTCACTCACCCCATCATCACAAGAAAAAGAAGCTCTCTGCTAACACCTGCATGCCACAGCTGGAGTTCAGAAAACCCTCTCCAAAAAGAGCTAAAAACAGATCCCATCACATGTAAATGTCTGAAAAAAAAAATCTTAGTACTTTGCATAGGTTTCAAATTTGCTGGCTTCCTCTAGATTAACAATTTTTTTTATTTCTCTCATGCAGTTAAATGGCATTTATATCCACCTACCTAATATAATATTATAGGTCAACTGTAATTGGAAAAAAATCAAAATTTATTTTTTAAAAAGAGTGTCTTAGAAACCTTCTGTCTTGGTTTCTGGCTTGGTTACCTGTTTACTTACCCACGTGAGTAATACTTTGCAAAGAAATAAAATTGTTCCCTATGTCCCAGATCTGGTACAATTTAATTCTTCCACTAAGGAAAATCAGTTATTTGCTTTCCTCATCCTATGAAACAAAGGCTTCCTCAGACAGGCTTATTTATGTACTCCCCGTTGATAGAGTAAGTTTGAAAATCTATTTGAAACAAATAAGCCATACTTTTATCTGCATCTCTTTCCATTTAAGACACCCAGGATAAAATGTAATTTCTCCTACAAGTTTCTCATAAAACCAAAAATAAATAAAACACTCCAAGTTCAGTCTTGAAATACAAACCCTCGCTTTGACTCAGTAGCTTTGACAAACTAGAAAACTTGGAAAGAAAAGGGAGGGCAAGGAAAAGGACTTCTTGAACCTGAGTTGTCCACCAGCCCCCCTACCAGCCCTGGGAAATTCTGCCTGGCTGACAGCTTCTTCCCGACGCGAGGAGAAAATGACACCCTGCCAATTTCTCCTTCCCCTGACTGCCCACAGCACTTACAGTCTCTATCACACATTTTAACCCAAGTCCTTTTCAATTCCGCGTTCAGTTATATTGTCTGTTTATATTCCACTGGATTTATTTAAGTCTTGAAGGCTTGAAAAGCTTTTAAGCTCCTTGGTGAAAGAAAGCTTGCCATGCCCTTCTTTTGCAGCCTCCTCAGAGTGTCTGTTAGAAGAGCCTGAATTTAAATTAAATGATCCATTTCCAAAACCTGTTCTACGACTTAAGCTGTACTCCAAAGGAACCACTGCTCTCTAGCTATAATTTAAGCCCTTCTCATTTTTCTCTGTCCTCCAGGGACTGCAGCTCCTATGATGCCTACCATCCAAATGAAAGCCCTCCATACACTGGAGAACAATTAAGTTATAACTCAGCTCTCGCTCCTCTGTTCTTCCGGTCCATTGTATTTTTAGTCGCGGGTGGCTTTTGAACAGTTGCCATCTCCTTTGAAGATTTACAACCCACACCGCACCCCAGGTCACTAGGAACCTATATCTTTGATCCTCGCAGTTTTTCAAAAGCCATTATTAAGGAAACCCTTGTGTGTGGAGGGGAGATGAATGAAGTGCTTCTTAAACCTGAACCACCATCAGAAAAACCTGGAGGTCTTGTTCAACCGTGTTGCTGGGTCCCATCCCCAGAATTTCTGACTCAGTAGGTGTGGGGTTTCTAACCAGTTCCCAGGTGGTGGTGCTGCTGCTGGTCCAGGGACAACGCTTGGCGAACCCCTGCTCTAAGGGCAAGTCTTCGTGGATTAGATAGCCAGACAGAGGCTAAGGGTCTTCTGAGTATATTCAATCACTCTCTGAGGAGGGCTACATTGGAAGGACTCTTATCTGTGTATTCCAAAGAGGTGACAGATGACCAAAAACCAAAAGGCTCACACACTTTATAATCTGGGAAAACTTCTGGTGGCTTTCAGCCTGGAGTCTTAGTCTGTTTTCTTCCTACTGGCTTCAGGTCCTCTCAGGGTCAATTCAGCCCTCTGTCTCTCCTTCCATCTTTTTGCTTCACTGGAAACTCCTTACAAAGGTATCAGCCATTGCTATTCCTGAAAGACCTTCCCTCTATCCTGGTACATTTCCAGATGGCTGTCACCTTTCTCCTGTTCACCAACAAACATGTTAACGTGTTGTATAAACTCAAGGTTGGTATTTTCCCAGGCACATCTTAAACTCTTAGAGTTTGACTTCCACCCCTTTTGTGTGTTTTTTGTTGTTGCTGTTTCTTTTTTTCCCCAAAAATATATTTTATTGATTTTTTACAGAGAGGAAGGGAGAGGGATAGAGAGTTAGAAACATTGATGAGAGAGAAACATCAATCAGCTGCTTCCTGCACACTCCCTACTGGATATGTGCCCGCAACCAAGGTACATGCCCTTGACGGGACTCAAACCCGGGAACCTTGAGTCCACAGGCTGACGCTCTATCCACTGAGCCAAACCGGTTAGGGCCACCCCTTTTGTTTTTTTAAGTAAACCTCCTTCTCTTTGCTTCAGATGGTTTCCTGCCTTCTAAATGCAGAGGCTCTTTTCTACCTGACTTCTTTTACAACATTTAACACAGTAGGTCTAGAGAATCAGAATACACATCCCTCTGGCCATGATGACTGTGTTAGGGGTAGGCAGGTGACAAATGCCATGCCAATCAAAGCCTCTCGGACCGGCTGACCTGAGGAAATAACGCACCCTGTCCTAGGGAGGCCATGGAAGCATGGTCTACAAAGAGCCATTCTTACCACCTGGTGAGGAAAGCCCACATGACAATGAAGCTCTTCAGCAGGGAGCAAAGCTGCAAGACAGAAGGACTGAGTCCTGACAACAGTGAGGTCCTGTGGATCCAGCCATGCCAAATGTTAGATTTATCCCTGGCAAAATGCTCACGTGGCCCCCACACTGCCCTGCCCTCAAGTGCACACACTCACCTTCTCCTAGTTATTCAATCAAACT